ATTTGTCTTGCATTGCTGTTTACAGTTACACCGGTCATATCCTTGACCGCCAAGATTTGAAAATTGTCTATAGGCATTCTGAACGTTTGTGTGTTAATGGTTTAAGTAAAACATATTTCGTTATAATAATACATAGTATTTACAAATTGTTTTAAAAATAGTGGATGGCATCCAAGGTTTATAGATTATAGATAATCTATAAACCTTGTTGCGGCTCGACCGCTATGTGTGGCCCGGCCCTTCTTAATTAAAAGCTATAATTTGTTTGAGCCTATGCATTCCATTTTCAAGGAGAGTTGTGCAAACTTATAATTATGATAACATATGTTATTTGTTGTAATATAAGTTAGGTTAGGACGTTAGGTTATGTATAAAAACACTTATAAATAATTGTTGTTATGTATATAATAATTATGTATTATTCATTCTGAAAATATATACAAAAACAAATTAGAATTAGAAAATAAAAAGAACTCAAAAATTAGCACACAGTAACTTTTTATAGCTTACCACATTCTGCAAAGCCGTCATCCTATAAACAATGTATTTAACAACATTTATAACTAACATGTATATTACATATTATATTTATATATAAAAGTGTTTAATATTATTCACTTCCACCTTCATCGTGGCCAGAATTTTGGCCACCGACGACACAGCACTCGGGCCTCGGACATGGTGTACTTATACATCATTACAGTCACCCAATTATTAAATTACACCTGATTTAAAAAGCGACATGCATTGTTTCCCGAGCGTGCTCCCTCAAAATCCAAACTTGGTGTCTCGAAGGTGTCGCGTTTTTTTATTTACATTTCAACGTGTGATGTCATTTCTACATTCTTTCCCGAGATCATCGGCCAGTAGTTGTTGAAATACATTCCCGTTACGTACGGCGCGCTTTTTCACCGCGATATTTTTTTGGATTCTCTTCTTACGCTTTTGTTTTGTAAGCCAGGAGAATTTCTTAAACATTGTTTTCTGTGTATGTACCATCATTAGACGTGTACCGTATACCACAGATAAAGATAATATATATATTATCTATATCTGTGCCGTATACACACTTTTTCTAAATATAACACAAAACTCATGAAATTCCCGTGTTGCCGTATAATCGAGCACTGATAAGTGATAACAACAGTGATTAATAATAACGATATAACGACGCCGAGTCCGAGTGTCGTGTATGCGTAAAATATCCATAATATTATAGTTATTAGTTATTATTCACTATTTATCCTACATATTTTTAATAATAAAAATACAGATGTTATTTAACATATAATATAATTATTAATTACGTTTACAATATGATGCTATTATATATTATTTTCTTTAAAATGTCGAAGTTAAGGCACATCACTATGGTTAGATTGTGTGTGATCTGCGGAAACGTCGACGGTGTTGATGGAGTTTCGTGTTACAATAAATTTATTAACAACTCATACTAGACTTACACTAAAACTACTCATAATGTAATGGTTAAATTAGGTCTTGATTATGAAGGAGAAACCCTGGAGAAACACAACATCGTCGTCGTCTGTTCTCAAGAGCGGTGCCATCTTTAGTGAGTGTATCATGACTATTTTTATTAGGTATTCCAATGACACTGTTACAATACTACACCAAACCACACATAAACACAACTTAGACTGTAGCAATTGTATTAAGTTAATAACTATTATTATATAATGTCATACGGTGTCATTTATTTATTAACATACAATATCATGCTTATAGACACAATTAATTAAATTACTTTACATTGAAATACCAACTGTTCAATTCATATTACTATTCAAATATAGGTAATAAAGTATTTTTTTCTAATAATTTAATTGAACTAATCATAATAATACTTTTGTTCTTCTTATACTTACATTTATGCACCACCTCTATGTGTTTCTTAAATGTATTGTTTTCATTATTATCAGAAGGGATACATTCTCTAGGCTACAATTCATTTTATTTATGTAAAATAATAGCTTACATTATTACAGCTATAATTATTCAACAATTGCTGCTATTGACCTTTATTCGGTCAGCAATGCAATTCACTATAACGTGTAGTTTAAATGTTACTTACTAATTGATTACAATATGCTCTCCACACTGTTTTTTATTTAATTATAAAAGTGTTGTACTTATTACATTCCCTATCGGTGAGCTGATTTTTATATGCTTATGAAGTTACATGTCATTGATATGCAGTTAAATATCATCATAATAATAACACATGCAACACATATACGTTGAATATTTAAGCTGATAATATTTGAGATTGTTATTATACATACATTACAACGGACTTCCTTTGATACTGTAGGTAGTTCAACCATTCCTTGAGATTGCGGCTCCAGGCTGGAAGCGGAAGTGGCAGTACCGGTAACAACGGGATGGAGATAAAAGTTGTCGAAGTCCAAGTGGAAGATGTAATGATGGACCTAGCTGAAGAAGAAATGCTACGAGAGGAAGTGGTACAAGATGACATTGAGTATGTGGATTTACTTCCTACTGACGTAGAGGCAGAATTTGAATTCAGGGATGCACTTGACGTTTTACTACCAAACGTCAATGAAGAAGTTAGTAAATACATCTTATTAAAATTAAAATAAATATTTATAACATTATATTCTTAATAACTGTGCATTTTAATTGCAGTTCGTACCGATTCCTCCTGTTGTACCAAGAGCACATGCGCCCATGAGAGACCATCTGGCTGGCATTTGGCACTGTGGTTCCCGCCATTTCTCCTGCGAGTGTACTTCAACGGGTCATTTTTCTACGTGTTGCAATAACGGTTCAAATGGCTGTCATAGGAGATCGTGTTATGAGTCCACCACCAGAGTTATTAATTCGTTTGTTGGTGGATGATTCGGAGGTAGCAAAACACTTTCGGAAAGAAATCCGCCGGTACAACAACACTCTGGCATTTGCGGCTTTCTCCACTGATCTGAGCCCAAGACGTTTGCCTGGTCAGGGACCAAGAGTATTCTCCGGTCACGGGCAAGTGTATCGTAGGATTAGTAATGGATGTTGTCAGAAATTAACTAATGCAAGCAAGGTATTGCGAGTTGTATTTTTTATTGAATCCGGGGCAGCAAATCACATTCGCATGGCACAACAGCCACGTGAGCGACCACTATTGGAGAACTTGCTTGCAGACTTAGACAGACTGTTATGGCTAATCAATCCATGTGTGGTGGCTTTCGAGTAATATATATTACTTTAAATTATTAACATATACATAATCTAGCAAAATGCGTACATCACACTCATTAACAAACTATATTCGTATAATCAAATAAAAATATTACTTCAAGTTGTAGTGTGTTGAACACACATTACATTAGTATAGGTATTGCTTTTACGTATTTCTATATGATACAACAAATAACTTTGGTTAACATTGCATTGAATACACATTCGTGTAGACAGTAGTGCAACATTTTTGTTTACAAATTTATAGTTTACATTATAATTACTAATCACTCGTTAAAAAACTTTTGATAGAGTTGGATTGCTCCTGCCATCACCGGTGTTCACGCACGGACAACTGTATGTAGCGGTTTCCCGAGTGAGGGACTCTCAATCCATTAGAGTTGGTATATACAGTGATGACCGTGGTAGATTCGTCACTAAGAACATTGTCTACAGAGAAGTTCTACATGCGATATAACTGTACAATAAAGACTATAAGAACTCATTTACCAGAACTTAATGAACATTGAATCCTATCTGTGTGATCAAATGGATCTGTGTGATTCAAGTCTGTGTGACAAAAGTCTGTTTGACAAAAGTCTGAGTGACAAGTCTGTGTGACATATGGTTTATAAGCAGTCGTAAGTATGACTCGCGGAAGAGAGAAAGTTTGACGACCTCCACGTGGTTTTCTCTAGATGCGGATTTTGTAATGAATACATAACTGTTGTCGAACATGCATTTAACCTGACTGCGACTCGCACACTAGATGGTAAATTATTTAGAATTATTTATGTACTCAAAAATATATTAGCAGATATTTGTATGCATTTGTATTATTTCAGAACATTATACTAGAAATGACTTTATCAATGAAGGTGTAACAGCAACAGAATCATTATTGTACTGCTACTAAGACTTAGGGGAAATTCGACAACCTCTAAGTGCTTCTCTCTTGATGCGGATTTTGTAATGTATTTGTATCAAATGTCAAACATGCATTTAAACTAACTGCAACTCCCACACTAGGTGGTAAATTATTTAGAATTATTTATGTACTCTAAAAATATATCAGCAGATATTTGTATGCACTTGAATAATTTCAAAATATAACAAAACAGAACCAGGCATACAGCGGGGCACAGTAATGCAACAGACGAGGAGAGACCGCTGGACACCCAGTCACAGTTTTCGGATTGCTTGCCTTCATCGTGTTACCCGTCCGTTGCACGTCGTCCGCTATATGACAAAGTCGGATGGCCTACCTGCCAGACCACGCTCAAAATCGAGCCGGGTGACTGACTTCCTAGACACTCAAAAATTGCGGCAACTATACAACTTAATTTCTTTTTGAATTTCTCTCTTTTTCACTTGCATCCAGCATGCGACGGGTCATGCATCCAATCCACCATACACACATGCCCTATAACTCATAGATTTGCATAGAGCAATGATTATTAATTACAAATTTTTACAAATTAAATACAAAATAAAATAATTTATTTGTCTAATCTTGCATACAAAAAACAGTCAAGAAGCACTTTTGCCAAGTCTACCGCTTTGTGGAATAAACAATTTCTCTCAACTAAGTCATCTGATTTATTTAAATAAAATCTTGGTGTTTATTTAATTACACCCAACGAGACACGTTGGAATTCACTGTATGGTGCAGTGGTGCTGCTTAATAAATAAATTTAAAATAATGAACTTAAGTTTAGAATAATAATGGACAAATTGGCTTTTGGTAGGTAAATTTTAAATCTTAAAAAATTATTAATTATTTTATCTATATTTATTATGAACAATATTTTCAGATTTAATAGAAGTGATATTTATTTCATGTGTCAATATCAAACAATTATGGGGCCAATTTCAATAAGCTTGTATTTACTCCAGGGTGATACTAACATGTACTTTGGTCATCTCCTACCTACAATTGAAGAATTAATTTATAAATATGAATTAATGACCAGTGATCAAATCATTATTTGAAAGCTGGTGACTGCCATACTTAATTGTATGTAATAATTAATATTTTTAAATACATTAATCTTATTTAGCCAAGTACATACTTAAATTGTATACTTTTTATTTCTTTTCATTTTAGGTGTTTTTGGTTTACTTTATTGGTAAATACTATTTACTAAGTAGTAAATATATAGTATCTCTTCCAGTCTTACAGATGTAAAGTGTAAAATTTTAATCAGCTGATCTATTATTTATATTTATATTTCTGTGTAGTACCTACATTTATATACTCATGAGCTAAAATAAACAAACTTTTTTTTTATTAGCTGCTGGTATAAAACCATTTTAGCTCAACAATTATTATCTTAAGGATTTACAACTTAATAAACAAACTTAATTCATAATAATTTTTGTTTTTTAGGTATAAAAACAAAGTTTTAATCACTGCTGCAGTCTGCCACCCACTATTTAAAAAAGCATGGATTACAAATGATATAAAAAAATAATTGGCCCCAGAATATAAAGCGCCTGTTATGACTTACATATCAGTGATGATGACAATAATGTTATAGAAAATAACCAAATGAAAGATAATTTATCTTCCTTTTTTACCTGGTCACAAAATTTCTGAAATTAAAAATCAACAGTTACTGATGAAATAGATAGATATTTGGGCTCATCTCCAACAAAGACTTAAGAATGTTTGCATAATTTACCCGCTATCAAAAAAGTAAGATTTGTTGAAAACTTCTTATACTATTAGTAGTAATATTACAAAAACATTTTTACTTAGTTTTCAGGTATTTGTGAAGTACAACACTCCACTACCTAGCAGTGAATCAGTAGAGAGAGTGTTTAGTGTTGGTGATGCAACAATACAAAAAAAGAACAAATTACGAATTAATATTTTGAACAAATTATGTTCTTAAAATGCCACACTCAAATGTTCGATTAATATAATATATTATGAATGATTCAGAATCAAATTGATTTTTTTGTTTTGTATTTGAAAATTATTTCAAAAACTTAACTATACATAGTATTTCTGTGGTATTTTAAATACTTTATTTTATAAGTAATTCAGTAATTACTCAAATACTTTATTAAAAGTATTTTTTACAACAATTAACAGTATACATAAACCTAATCTTGTCTCCATATAGTGTCTCTGCGTCATGTTATAGTGATAGTCATACATTTTTGTCTTGGAAACATCGAGCACACAAAATGCTAAACAAAATATAGTAAATGTATTAGTAAATGTTGAACATACAAATTTTTTAATAATTTATCCATTATTTATTTGTCTATATCGTGCAACTAATGTACTTACTACCTTAAACATAAAATGTATACAGATTTTAACAATTAAATGCAATTTTTAACTGTTATATGGCTTAAAAGCTTAAAAAATTTACAACTTATATTAATTTATGTACGTTTTGGAAACTGCCTTTAAAACACAAAATATTATGAATAATTGTTGTTGAACATATAATTAAAAGCATAAAAACCGTATTCAGTATTAATAGTTAGGTACATCTTAATGTTATTGGAAATGATACCACCTGTGTAACAGAAATATTAAAAAATTCAATTACCAAACCTACACAATGTGATACTTATATCACGTAATTTAAAAAAGAATTATGGTACCCATCATTTTTCAAAAATAATTGGTACTTTGTATGTGAAAAACCTACTACAGTTACAATTATTTGTAATAATCGATCTTTTGTTCGTAAACTAACATTACAAAGTTCTGGTAAATTATTTTTGAAAGCTGGGTGTGAAGCTCATACGACTAAAGGCGTATTAATAACAGAACAAACTGTAGAATCGTCATTTGAAACACTGCCTTTAGAATTAAGTATTTTAAATGATTCATGTTGCAATATTACTCTTAATCAACGCTATCCGAAACCCATTCATTTAGATGAAATTAAAAATTAAAAATTCGATAACGAAAGTTTTTAATAAAATAATTTCAAAATTAAATACTCAAGATGAATTACTAAATTCAATATTATTAAATAAGACATATGAATTTGTATATACAAACAAATATTTAATCGTTATAATAGTTGTTATAATATTATACGTCAGTATAAAATTATGTATAAAAAAATAAAAATAAATAGGTCAAATTTAGAAAACATAAATTTAGGTTATAATCCTGTGCCCATTGCTCCAACAAAAACATAAATTTGACTTTGTACGTAAAAAATACATTTAAATATTTTATACATGTAATCTTCAATCTTCTATACATTTATTCATAACAAATAGTTACATTATATTTTTTTTTAATATATACATTACGTCTATAAACGCATTTGTTAAAATACATTTTAGACATTTTTCATGTAATTTTATATTTTTATTGTGATATTCAATGCATTTTATATTTTATTATTTAATTTATTCACTGTTTTTTCATATAGGTCTTATATTGACTCTTGTATAGTACTATTTGAACATAAATTTTACTTTCTATTGAATTTTGCGTTTTAAATATTTCAGGGTCAACTTCAAATATGGTCTAGATAGTTTAAGNGTACTATTTGAACATAAATTTTACTTTCTATTGAATTTTGCGTTTTAAATATTTCAGTGTCAACTTCATATATGGTCTAGATAGTTTAAGGCATCGTTAAGCTATAGTTTTCCAGAAAAAAAAATCACAATTAAATAAATTTTAACTAGTAAAACGATAGAAAAGGGTTTTGAAAGTGTCGTTTGTTTCAATGAGATGAAAGTAGAAAGATTGAATTTTGAACACAAACACGATGTTTATATTTTCATGTGAACGACGAACTGTTGTGTGATACAAAAAATTCGTGAAGTTTTTTATTTCATTGTTTTGAATTAAATTCGAATAATTAAAAATGTAATAATTAATGTATTTAAAATTTTTAACCTTCTATATTTGGTTTATCTTCTCATGTAGTTGGTGATCTAGCTGCACGTCGTTGCTCTTAGATGAATGTTGGTACAAATTTATGGAAATAAACTTATGAGGATTTATATATTTACCTTTACGGTCTTCCGATGGAGTTGACGTCATCGTTCGGGTGACTATCACTTTGCATACGACAACGGCACTACCTTAATTCGGTTTTCAGTTTTTCACGGTTGTAATTTTGTGGTGGATCTATATGTACGAGTATGCCTACTTTAATGAAGCAAAACAAGAACCTTTCCATATTATGGAGTGATATAATATTATCCTAACATAGGTACTGTTATCTGTTTGTCTTCATATTTTATTTTCAGATTTGAAATATTTGGGTGACTGTAATTTGTCTGAAATTACATCTCGCCATACTATAATATTATTGGCCGCAATACGTGGCGGCGGTGGCGTGTAGCAAACATAAAAATGATTTCATACGATATGGTGCCGTTGCTCATGGTGTTAATGGGTGGTACGAAATCATTGAAATAAGTGTGTGAGATTCGGTAACCTGTACTTGCTTCCGATAGAACAAGCGTCGTTGTTCGTGGCCTCCACATCATTGTTGTTTTCCGGATCTTGCACCGATCTGTGCGACTCATCCGGACCACATTAGCGGGTGCTTGATGTGACATCGACGCATCACACTCATCGTTTTAATTTGAGCATAGCCTAAAATATTAACTTTTAATAAAGCTTCATCGATCAAAACAGTATTAGCGTGTTTTTTTTATATTAATCGTGATCGAACGATTTGTCGTTTGTTTTTACTGCGCTCAAAGCTTCACACAATATCTGTTTGATGACAAATCTAATTCAAATTTAAAAAAAATAATTATCAAAGAATAATATTGAACTGAATAGTATTAAAATTTTATAGAGACGTATCCATGTGTTATTACAGTTAGGAGTTTTCCACAACTGGACAACATTTTTTACCACTTTAACCCTTCGTCCTTTGTATTATATTCTCTCTATTAATTAATCTTAATTTATTTACCCAGGA